ACAATAAAACACCTTTAACCAACTGTCCACTCTTTAAAGGAAACATGTTCATTAAACCCCAAACACATCCAGTTTAATGCTAAATAAAAGAGAGAAAATATAAAAAGTGATAAAGAGTGTTGCTTAATATCTGAATTTAGTTTAAGCAGCTTCCTGTTTTTTCCCAAGATACAGTAAGTGAACATCATTAAATACCATTAGTGTGTGTGTGTGTGTGTGTGTGTGTGTGTGTGTGTGTGACTGTGTGTGTGTGTGACTGTGACTGTGTGTGTGTGTGTGTGTGTGTGTGTGTGTGACTGTGTGTGTGTGTGACTGTGTGTGTGTGTGTGTGACTGTGTGTGTGTGTGTGTGTGTGACTGTGTGTGTGTGTGTGACTGTGTGTGTGTGTGTGTGTGACTGTGTGTGTGTGTGACTGTGTGTGTGTGTGACTGTGACTGTGTGTGTGTGACTGTGTGTGTGTGACTGTGTGTGTGTGTGACTGTGTGTGTGTGTGACTGTGTGTGTGTGTGACTGTGTGTGTGTGACTGTGTGTGTGTGTGACTGTGTGTGTGTGTGTGACTGTGTGTGTGTGTGTGTGACTGTGTGTGTGTGTGACTGTGTGTGTGTGTGTGTGTGTGTGACTGTGTGACTGTGTCTGTGTGTGTGTGTGTGTGTGTGTGACTGTGTGTGTGTGTGACTGTGTGTGTGTGTGTGACTGTGTGTGTGTGTGACTGTGTGTTTGTATGACTGTGTGTGTGTGTGACTGTGTGTGTGTGTGTGACTGTGTGTGTGTGTGTGACTGTGTGTGTGTGTGACTGTGTGTGTGTGACTGTGTGTGTGTGACTGTGTGTGACTGTGTGTGACTGTGTGTGTGACTGTGTGTGGTGTGTGACTGTGTGTGTGACTGTGTGTTTGTATGACTGTGTGTGTGTGTGACTGTGTGTGTGTGACTGTGTGTGTGTGACTGTGTGTGTGTGACTGTGTGTGACTGTGTGTGTGTGTGACTGTGTGTGTGTGTGACTGTGTGTGTGTGACTGTGTGTGTGACTGTGTGTTTGTATGACTGTGTGTGTGTGTGTGTGATTGTGTGTGTGACTGTGTGTGTGTGTGTGACTGTGTGTGTGTGTGTGTGTGACTGTGTGTGTGTGATTGTGTGTGTGTGTGTGTGTTTGTATGACTGTGTGTGTGTGTGTGTGACTGTATGTTTGTATGACTGTGTGTGTGTGTGTGTGACTGTGTGTGTGTGTGTGACTGTGTGTGTGATTGTGTGTGTGTGTGTGACTGTATGTTTGTATGACTGTGTGTGTGTGTGTGTGTGACTGTGTGTTTGTATGACTGTGTGTGTGTGTGTTTGTATGACTGTGTGTGTGTTTGTATGACTGTGTGTGTGTGACTGTGTGTGTGTGACTGTGTGTGTGACTGTGTGACTGTGTGACTGTGTGTGTGTGACTGTGTGTGTGTGACTGTGTGTGTGTGACTGTGTGTGTGTGTGACTGTGTGTGTGTGTGACTGTGTGTGTGTGTGTGACTGTGTGTGTGTGTGACTGTGTGTGTGTGACTGTGTGTTTGTATGACTGTGTGTGTGTGATTGTGTGTGTGTGACTGTGTGTGTGTGTGTGACTGTGTGTGTGATTGTGTGTGTGTGTGTTTGTATGACTGTGTGTGTGTGTGTGACTGTGTGTGTGATTGTGTGTGTGTGTGTTTGTATGACTGTGTGTGTGTGTGTGACTGTGTGTGTGATTGTGTGTGTGTGTGTGTTTGTATGACTGTGTGTGTGTGACTGTATGTTTGTATGACTGTGTGTGTGTGTGACTGTGTGTGTGTGTGTGACTGTGTGTGTGTGACTGTGTGTGTGTGACTGTGTGTGTGTGACTGTGTGTGTGTGTGACTGTGTGTGTGTGTGACTGTGTGTGTGTGTGTGACTGTGTGTGTGTGTGACTGTGTGTGTGTGACTGTGTGTTTGTATGACTGTGTGTGTGTGATTGTGTGTGTGTGACTGTGTGTGTGTGTGTGACTGTGTGTGTGATTGTGTGTGTGTGTGTTTGTATGACTGTGTGTGTGTGTGTGTGTGTGTGACTGTGTGTGTGTGTGTGTGTGTGACTGTGTGTGTGATTGTGTGTGTGTGTGTGTTTGTATGACTGTGTGTGTGTGTGTGACTGTATGTTTGTATGACTGTGTGTGTGTGTGACTGTGTGTGTGTGTGTGACTGTGTGTGTGTGTGTGACTGTGTGTGTGATTGTGTGTGTCATTGTGTGTGTGACTGTGTGTGTGTGTGACTGTGTGTTTGTATGTCTTTGTGCTCCTCTCCAACTTTGCCCATTTTCGTATTTTGTACATATTTCTTTTACTTTTGCCGTTTTACTTTTAACATGGTTCGCAACATGCTAGCCGACCGCACCTACTCTGCCATACAATATAGCAGAGAGGAACTTTTCCAATTGCGAAACTTCGTGGACAATATTAACCCTCCGACAGACAATGGAGATTCACCATGGCTACCTGTTGCTGTTCTACCTGAGAGACGCAAGAAGAAGACAAAGCGAGGATGCCGGGCCGGGTTGCTGGTCAGACTAAGAAAACGTGAGAATCGGCCCCCTCTTCCGAGTATTCTTCTGGCTAATGTTCAATCCATTGGAAATAAGCTAGATGAACTCAGAAGCCGGATTGCTTTTCAACGGGACATTAAGAACTGTAACGTGTTAATTCTCACTGAGACTTGGCTCAACCCCGCTATCCCGGACTCCGCTATTGTCCCTGACGGATTCTCTATTTTTCGTCAGGACCGGACTGCAAACTCGAGGAAAAGTAAGGGAGGCGGTGTGTGTGTAATGACTAACAACAACTGGTGCTCAGATGTGAAGATTATTTCATCGGACTGTTCCGCACAGCTAGAGCACCTCATGATCTCATGTCGGGCCTTCCATCTGCCGAGGGAATTCACATCTGTTGTGATAACAGCAGTGTATATCCCGCCGCAGCCACTCGCCGACAACAACACGGCACTCGATCAGCTGTTTGGGTTTATTGATAAAACCGAGACTTCACGGCCAGATGCGGCGTTCGTTGTGGCCGGAGATTTCAACACCGCCAACATGAAGAAGGTTTTGCCAAAATATTACCAACACATCAACTTCCCGACGCGCGGGGGAAACATACTGGACCATGTTTATTCCCCTTTCCGGAATGGATATAAGGCTCTCCCTCGCCCTCCCTTCGGCAAATCAGACCATATCTCACTACTGTTGTTGCCTGCGTACAAGCAGAAACTTAAAAGGGACAGACCGATAACAAGGACAGTACAGCGATGGAGCGAGGAGTCAGATTCAGCACTGCAGGATTGCTTTGCATCTACGGATTGGAGTGTGTTTGAGGACAATAACATCAACACACACACGGACACTGTCATCTGCTACATTGGGAAATGCATCGATGACGTGGTACCGAAGGTTTCTGTACGGACATTCCCAAATCAAAAGCCCTGGGTAAACGGTGAGGTGCGCGGCAAACTGAAAGCGCGCACTCTCGCGCACACAGCGGGAGATTTGGAGGAGTACAGGAAGTCTAGGTATGATCTCCGGAGAGCAATTCAAAATGCAAAGAGACAGTACAAAGAGAAGGTGGAATCTGACTTCAAAGGCTGTAACACTAGGAATATGTGGGCGGGACTAAGGACAATGACTGACTACAAAGGAGCAGCGGGGGGTGCTGCGGGAGTGTCTGCGTGCGCATCTCTCCCAGATGAGCTAAACAGTTTTTTTGCACGCTTTGAGAGCAGCCAGGCTGTGGAGGTACAGAGGGACCAGGAGCTACACTGCCCTTTTGTTTTAAATAGGGCAGATGTGTGTAAATCCTTTAAAAGGGTTAACCCACACAAGGCTCCTGGACCTGATGGCATCCCTGGCCGTGTTCTCAGGGTGTGTGCAGTTCAGCTGGCAGAGGTGTTCACAGACATCTTCAACAGGTCCCTGCTGCAGTCTGTAGTCCCCACATGTCTTAAACACTCCACCATCATTCCTGTCCCCAAAAAGACAATCATCACCTGCCCCAACGACTACCGCCCAGTAGCACTCACCTCCATCATAATGAAGTGCTTTGAGCGGTTAGTCAAATTATTCATCACCTCCTCCCTCCCTGAATCTCTGGACCCCCTGCAGTTTGCCTACAGAGCAAACAGGTCCACAGACGACGCCATAGCCCTCACCCTCCACACTGCCCTCTCACACCTGGACCCGAAGAAGAGGAACACATATGTGAGAATGCTGTTCATTGACTACAGTTCAGCATTCAACACCATTGTGCCCTCCAAGCTGGCCATCAAGCTCAGAGACCTCGGGCTCAACAGCGCCCTCTGTGACTGGATCCTGAACTTCCTGACGGGCAGACCCCAGGCAGTGCGGGTGGGAAACATCACATCCTCCACCCTGATTCTCAACACCGGTGCCCCTCAAGGCTGCGTGCTCAGCCCTCTCCTCTACTCCCTGTTCACCCACGACTGCGTGGCCACACACAGCTCCAACACCATCGTGAAGTTTGCTGATGACACGACCGTCATCGGCCAGATCACAGACGATGACGAGACGGCAGTACAGAGAGGAGGTCGAAAACCTGACATCTTGGTGCCAGGAGAACAACCTCCATCTCAACATCAGCAAAACAAAGGAGCTGATTGTGGACTACAGGAAGCAGCAGGGAGAGGGACACGCCCCCATCGCCATCAATGGGACTACGGTGGAGAGAGTCAAAAGCTTCAGGTTCCTTGGGGTCCACATCACTGAGGACCTGACATGGTCTCTTCACACCACCACCATCACCAAGAAAGCTCGACAGCGGCTCTTCTTCCTCCGCAGGTTGAGGAGGTTCAAAATGGATCCAGGATACTCTGCAACTTCTACAGGTGCACGATAGAGAGTATCCTCACTGGCAGCATGACGGCCTGGTACGGCAGCTGCACCGACCTCGATCGTAAGGCTTTACAGAGGGTGGTGAAAACTGCACAGCACATCACCAGGACGGAGCTGCCATCCATGGAGGACCTTTACTCCCAGCGGCTCAGGAAGAAATCACTACGGATTATCAAAGACCCCCATCACCCCAGCCACAAACTGTTCTTTCTGTTGCCGTCTGGCAGACGTTACCGCAGCATCCTGGCAAGGACAAGAAGATTCGGAGACAGTTTCTTCCCGCGGGCAGTGAGACTGTTAAACAATTGAACTGTTGAAACAACATCAAACATTCAACTGCTACTCAGTAGTATGTATCTAATACCTAATATATATATATCATTCCAATAACTTGTATATAGACTCATACTGCACTATTCCACATCATAACTTTATTTCATTTTTATAACTATTATTATTTTTGTATTGCTCTTGCTCTTATTGTTATTATGTTATGTTATTATGTTGCATTGTTGGAGAAGCCTGTGACATAAGATTTTCAACTGCATAATTACTCTGTAGCTATGTCAGATTGACAATAAAGAACCTTGAACCTTGACTGTGTGTATGTGTGTTTGTATGACTGTGTGTGTGTGTGTGACTGTGTGTGTGACTGTGTGTGTGACTGTGTGTGTGACTGTGTGTGTGTGTGACTGTGTGTGTGTGACTGTGTGTGTGACTGTGTGTGACTGTGTGTGTGTGACTGTGTGTGTGTGTGACTGTGTGTGTGTGTGACTGTGTGTGTGTGTGACTGTGTGACTGTGTGTGTGTGACTGTGTGTGTGACTGTGTGTTTGTATGACTGTGTGTGTGTGTGTGACTGTATGTTTGTATGACTGTGTGTGTGTGTGTGTGACTGTGTGTGTGTGACTGTGTGTGTGTGTGTGTGTGTGACTGTGTGTGTGATTGTGTGTGTCATTGTGTGTGTGTGTGTGTCTGTGTGTGCCTGTATGTTTGTATGACTGTGTGTGTGTGTGTGATTGTGTGTGTGTGTGTTTGTATGACTGTGTGTGTGTGTGTGTGTGACTGTGTGTGTGATTGTGTGTGTCATTGTGTGTGTGTGACTGTGTGTGTGTGTGTGTGACTGTATGTTTGTATGACTGTGTGTGTGTGTGTGCGTATGTGTGACTGTGTGTTTGTATGACTGTGTGTGTGTGTGTGTTTGTATGACTGTGTGTGTGACTGTGTGTGTGATTGTGTGTGTGTGTTTCACCGTAGATGGAGATGGCCCCCAGGATGACCCAGGCGGACCACTCTGGGAGGTATTTGATGAAGACGAGGGCCATGAGGGCGCTGATGAGGATGAGGTAGAGCTGTTGCAGAGGCAGAGGGCCCTTCCAGTGGATACACACCATGCCCACTGCGCCGAAGTTCCAGATCAGCAGCCCCACCGAGGGGTAGTCTACCGCCACGTTGTAGGTCCTAAACACCTCTCTGAGACACACACACACACACACATTAAACACCTCTCTGAGACACACACACACACACACTAAACACACACATTAAATACACACACACACTAAACACTCCGAGGAGAGGAAGAGGAGGAAGACTCACCCCAGGTACATGAAGCTGAACCAGAAGAGCAGCATGAGAGAGGAGAGGATCAGCCAGCCGTGGATAAACTGCGCACACACACACACACACACACACACACACACACACACACACACACACACACACACACACACACACACACACACACACACACACACACACACACACACACACACACACACACACACACACACACACACACACACACACACACACACACACACACACACACACACACACACACACACACACACACACACACACACACACACACACACACACACACACAACAGTATCACAGTATGCTGACCTTGTAGCAGTGGTACTTGTATATGTATATGTATAGTATGACGGTATCACAGTATCACAGTATGCTGACCTTGTAGCAGTGGTACTTGTACATGTATAGTATCACAGTATGCTGACCTTGTAGCAGTGGTACTTGTAGATGTATAGTATCACAGTATCACAGTATGCTGACCTTGTAGCAGTGGTACTTGTAGATGTATAGTATCACAGTATCACAGTATTACAGTATCACAGTATGCTGACCTTGTAGCAGTGGTACTTGTAGATGTATAGTATCACAGTATGCTGACCTTGTAGCAGTGGTACTTGTATATGTATATGTATAGTATGACGGTATCACAGTATCACAGTATGCTGACCTTGTAGCAGTGGTACTTGTACATGTACAGTATCACAGTATGCTGACCTTGTAGCAGTGGTACTTGTACATGTACAGTATCACAGTATGCTGACCTTGTAGCAGTGGTACTTGTATATGTATATGTATAGTATGACGGTATCACAGTATCACAGTATGCTGACCTTGTAGCAGTGGTACTTGTACATGTATAGTATCACAGTATGCTGACCTTGTAGCAGTGGTACTTGTAGATGTATAGTATCACAGTATCACAGTATTACAGTATCACAGTATCACAGTATCACAGTATGACAGTATGACAGTATGCTGACCTTGTAGCAGTGGTACTTGTAGATGTATAGTATCACAGTATTACAGTATCACAGTATCACAGTATCACAGTATGACAGTATGACAGTATGCTGACCTTGTAGCAGTGGTACTTGTACATGTATAGTATCACAGTATGCTGACCTTGTAGCAGTGGTACTTGTAGATGTATAGTATCACAGTATTACAGTATCACAGTATCACAGTATCACAGTATGACAGTATGACAGTATGCTGACCTTGTAGCAGTGGTACTTGTAGATGTATAGTATCACAGTATCACAGTATGCTGACCTTGTAGCAGTGGTACTTGTACATGTATAGTATCACAGTATGCTGACCTTGTAGCAGTGGTACTTGTAGATGTATAGTATCACAGTATTACAGTATCACAGTATGACAGTATGACAGTATGCTGACCTTGTAGCAGTGGTACTTGTAGATGTATAGTATCACAGTATCACAGTATCACAGTATCACAGTATGACAGTATGACAGTATGCTGACCTTGTAGCAGTGGTACTTGTAGATGTATAGTATCACAGTATCACAGTATGCTGACCTTGTAGCAGTGGTACTTGTAGATGTATAGTATCACAGTATCACAGTATCACAGTATCACAGTATCACAGTATGACAGTATGACAGTATGCTGACCTTGTAGCAGCGGTACTTGTAGATGTATAGTATCACAGTATCACAGTATCACAGTATCACAGTATCACAGTATCACAGTATGACAGTATGACAGTATGCTGACCTTGTAGCAGTGGTACTTGTAGATGTATAGTATCACAGTATCACAGTATGCTGACCTTGTAGCAGTGGTACTTGTACATGTATAGTATCACAGTATGCTGACCTTGTAGCAGTGGTACTTGTAGATGTATAGTATCACAGTATCACAGTATGCTGACCTTGTAGCAGTGGTACTTGTAGATGTATAGTATCACAGTATCACAGTATCACAGTATCACAGTATGACAGTATGACAGTATGCTGACCTTGTAGCAGCGGTACTTGTAGATGTATAGTATCACAGTATCACAGTATCACAGTATCACAGTATCACAGTATGACAGTATGACAGTATGACAGTATGCTGACCTTGTAGCAGCGGTACTTGTAGAGCAGCACCAGGAACACGGTCATCACCACGATGACGCTGATCATGATGATCGTGTTCAGAACCGAGTTCAGGAGGCGCCGGCCCACCGAGGACACGTTCTCTGAGAAGGGGGTGTAGATCCTGACAAAAGGTTATATATATATGTAAACAATTACTCATACTAATAAAAGGAGGAATAATATTTGTAATTATAATACAGAGAAATGTAATAATACAAATAATAAAATAATAATAATATATATATAAATAACGTACAGCTGCTGGTCCGTCTTCTCCGTGTAGAAGCTGACGGACTTGATGGTTGCCACGACGACGATCATGCAGAGCGTCACCGGGACGAAGAGCATGATCACATGCTTCGCTCCGTACTTTAGGGTCAGCTCCTCCTCTTCCTCCTCCTCAGAGACCCCCTGGACCCCCTGCGGAGAGGCAGACCTCCTGCTGAGCCCCGGCTGCACACAGGAACAACATCAACAACAACAGCAACAACAACAACTAACAGCTGATCCTAACGTCAACAAACATTCATTCATAGACTAACATTAGCTTATAGTACAAGGACCGGCCCTGAGTGAGCAATAATTAAATAAATAAAGAAATAATATAAAGAAATTCTAAGAAAAACTAGTAAAAATAATATCAATTAAAAATGATGAAATAAAATGTTATTATAGATATAAAAATAATAATCCAAATAGACCCTTACCCTCTTGTCGGGGGGGTCGATGGGGGGGTCGGGTCTGTAGGAGGGGAGGGGGGGGCTCTCCACCAGAGCCGACCTCTCGTTGTACGAGTCCTCCTCGCTGTCTGAGGCGTTCATGGCTACACACACACACACACACACACACACACAGTCACATACACACACACACACAGTCACACACACACACACAGTCATACAAACACACAGTCACACACACAGTCACATACACACACACACACACACACACACACAGTCATACAAACACACAGTCACACACACAGTCACATACACACACACACACACACACACACACACACAGTCACATACACACACACACACAGTCACACACACACACACACACACACACAGTCACACACACACACACACACACACACACACACACACACACACACACACACACACACACACACACACACACACACACACACACACACACACACACAGTCCACACACACACACACACAACACACACACACACACACACACACACACACACACACACACACACACCTGTTACAGTGCACAGTTCCCCTCTGCGGGACGAATGAAGGGATTCTGATCACAACAGCATGGTAACCCTTTCAGGTCACATGACCCCCCCCCAGCTGTGAGGGGGGGGGGGTCCCGTGACGGTCAGCTGATTAGATGCAGCTCCTCGTGTTAATGCTTTTCGTTTGTAAAGCACTGAATTGCTGTTTGAAACTCTCTGTGATCTGAGACCCTAACTCACATAGCTCACAGGGGGCTGAGACCCTAACTCACATAGCTCACAGGGGGCTGAGACCCTAACTCACATAGCTCACAGGGGGCTGAGACCCTAACTCACATAGCTCACAGGGGGCTGAGACCTTAACTCACATAGCTCACAGGGGGCTGAGACCCTAACTCACATAGCTCACAGGGGGCTGAGACCCTAACTCACATAGCTCACAGGGGGCTGAGACCCTAACTCACATAGCTCACAGGGGGCTGAGACCCTAACTCACATAGCTCACAGGGGGCTGAGACCCTAACTCACATAGCTCACAGGGGGCTCTGCTCCTGACTCTGAGACCCTAACTCACATAGCTCACAGGGGGCTGAGACCCTAACTCACATAGCTCACAGGGGGCTGAGACCCTAACTCACATAGCTCACAGGGGGCTGAGACCCTAACTCACATAGCTCACAGGGGGCTGAGACCCTAACTCACATAGCTCACAGGGGGCTCTGCTCCTGACTCTGAGACCCTAACTCACATAGCGGACGGACGTTATGACCTGCTTCTTCCTGTTGGTCTGTCTCCTCTTCCTCACCACCTCTCCTCTTCCTCACCACCTCTCCTCTTCCTCACCACCTCTCCTCAGAAGCTTTAATTAAACTTGAGAGTGGGAATAATGGGAGTAGTTCTTGTGTGTGTGATGTCCGGGTTCAGACCGGGTTCAGACCGGGTTCAGACCGGGTTCAGACCGGGTTCAGTCCGGGTTCAGTCCGGGTTCAGACCGGGTTCAGACCGGGTTCAGACCGGGTTCAGTCCGGGTTCAGACCGGGTTCAGACCGGGTTCAGTCCGGGTTCAGACCGGGTTCAGACCGGGTTCAGACCGGGTTCAGTCCGGGTTCAGACCGGGTTCAGACCGGGTTCAGACCGGGTTCAGTCCGGGTTCAGACCGGGTTCAGACCGGGTTCAGACCGGGTTCAGTCCGGGTTCAGACCGGGTTCAGACCGGGTTCAGACCGGGTTCAGTCCGGGTTCAGACCGGGTTCAGTCCGGGTTCAGACCGGGTTCAGACCGGGTTCAGACCGGGTTCAGTCCGGGTTCAGACCGGGTTCAGACCGGGTTCAGACCGGGTTCAGTCCGGGTTCAGACCGGGTTCAGACCGGGTTCATACCGGGTTCAGACCGGTCACAGCACCCGGGATAAACCCTGTGTTTAATCAGATTCATATCCGGTCTGTTTAAATGAGAGTTCCCTCAGAGCCCCTGACAGAGGTCATGACAGAGGTCATGACAGAGGTCATGACACACACCCTAAAGTAGGGCTCGATTATGGCAAAGATCATAATCTCGATTATTTGGGTCAATAATTAATATCACGATTATTAAAAACGATTATTTACTTCGAAAACATAAATAAAAAATGTGAACAGTGTGTTTTTAACAGTTTAACCCTGAACTTTAAGTATCTCAACTGAAAAACCCAAAAATAAAATTAAAAAATAAATTAAAAATAAATAAATAAAAATCGTTTTCTTTCTATTATGTTGTTTTCATAATCGTTGCAAGCCAACATCGTAATTGCGATTAAAATACGATGAATGGAGCAGCCCTACTCTAAAGTCAGTTTCAACAAGAAATCTCCATTAAATCCCACTGTTTTCAAGCCTTTGCTCCTGAAACCCCCCGTGTTTAAAGCCCCTGCCCCCCCCATGTGTTCACGGGTTCAGTCTGAGAGAATAAACCCACAGAATCTGAAATATAAACTCTTAATTTCACATTCAAGCTTTAAAAAGAGAAGCGCTTACCGTGAATTCAGCAGAAACACAACAAACACCGAGCCCGGAAGTGGGAGTCAGCTGACCGCCCAGCACGTGATGACGCACCACGTCATTCGATCACGTGGTGGTTCAACGTCCAATCAGTTTATTTGTGTTTGTTTATTCATTTATTTAATTGAGAAAATATATTAAAATAATGTATTTTAAATAATAAAAATAGGAACAATTAGTGCAAGTGTTATATATTCAAACCGAAATGACAGAATGGAGAAATTAATAGATACAAATAAAAAAGGGATATTAAGGTATAGTGTTTGTTATTGTGATCATGTGTTCGGACTTTATGTCTTAAAACTAATTATTTGAAGTGAATTGCTTTATCTTTAAATACTGTGATGACAAGTTTTGTTTTATGTTATTTCCCTTTCATTTTACCATTGTTCAAAAAACGCAATTTTCTGAAACTCGACTCTTCTTTAAAATCAAACAAAAAAGGGTATCAATAAAAAACAAAACAACAACAACAACACTTTTATAAAACTGTAAAAGCTTTTAATGAATAATAATATGTTTCTGGACCAGCTTCAATAAATCAGACCCATGTTTCCTAAACTTTTATTTTGACAATTTTGATCACTTTTAAAATCTTTTTATCCAACAAATGAACATCTGTTTTGAATAATGACAGAAACCCTGAGCGTCTCTCAGCAGCGTTCACCTCTCTTTCCCGCACAGAGGAAGAGAGGTGAACGCTGCTGAGCGTCTCTCAGCAGCGTTCACTTCTCTTCCCCGCACAGAGGGCGAGAGGTGAACGCTGCAGAGAGACGCTCAGCAGCGTTCACCTCTCTTTCCCGCACAGAGGAAGAGAGGTGAACGCTGCTGAGAGACGCTCAGCAGCGTTCACCTCTCTTTCCCGCACAGAGGAAGAGAGGTGAACGCTGCTGAGAGACGCTCAGCAGCGTTCACCTCTCTTCCCCGCACAGAGGAAGAGAGGTGAACGCTGCTGAGAGACGCTCAGCAGCGTTCACTTCTCTTCCCCGCACAGAGGGCGAGAGGTGAACGCTGCAGAGAGACGCTCAGCAGCGTTCACCTCTCTTTCCCGCACAGAGGGCGAGAGGTGAACGCTGCAGAGAGACGCTCAGCAGCGTTCACCTCTCTTTCCCGCACAGAGGAAGAGAGGTGAACGCTGCTGAGAGACGCTCAGCAGCGTTCACCTCTCTTTCCCGCACAGAGGAAGAGAGGTGAACGCTGCTGAGCGTCTCTCAGCAGCGTTCACCTCTCTTTCCCGCACAGAGGGCTGAGAGGTGAACGCTGCTGAGAGACGCTCAGCAGCGTTCACCTCTCTTTCCCGCACAGAGGGCTGAGAGGTGAACGCTGCAGAGAGACGCTCAGCAGCGTTCACCTCTCGCCCTCTGTGCGGGAAAGAGAGGTGAACGCTGCTGAGCGTCTCTCAGCAGCGTTCACCTCTCTTTCCCGCACAGAGGGCTGAGAGGTGAACGCTGCAGAGAGACGCTCAGCAGCGTTCACCTCTCTTTCCCGCACAGAGGGCTGAGAGGTGAACGCTGCAGAGAGACGCTCAGCAGCGTTCACTTCTCTTTCCCGCACAGAGGGCTGAGAGGTGAACGCTGCAGAGAGACGCTCAGCAGCGTTCACTTCTCTTTCCCGCACAGAGGAAGAGAAGTGAACGGGTGATAATGACAGAGACATAGATCAGGAAAACAGCTGTGGTTTTCACGCTGGTTTCAACACACATCAATAAAGTCATATTATAAATAATAAAAAAAAACACTTTTATTTATCCCAGAGGAGTCCGTGTGTGTGTGTGTGTGTGTGTGTGTGTGTGTGTGTGTGTGTGTGTGTGTCTCAGGGTTTGCTGAATACCCCCACAGGAAAGTGTTTGACGTGAGTCGGCCACTGAGCGGCGAGCTGGAAGAACCGGACGTCTCTCCATTCAACTCCGTCTACTGAGACTGAGACAGACAGGAAGTCATTCACTGTGTGTGTGTGAGTGTGTGTGTGTGTGTGTGTGTGTGTGTGTGTGTGTACCTCTGAGTGTGTGTTGGTGTTTGGAGGTACAGATCAGTCGACTGATTCCTTCGATCAGCTGACTCCTCGACTCCGCCTCCTTCTCCCTCGTCTTCTTACTGAGGAACATGACTGACACACACACACACACACACACACACACACACACACACACACACACACACACACACACACACACACACACACACACACACACACACACACACACCTCTGAGTGAAAGGTCACGGGGTTAAGGGATAGTGGATAGGAGAATTCAAAAGGATTTAGGAGAAGAGACTGCGGCACTTTAGAGAATCGACTGCACTTTCACTATCCGACGTGTTTATGATGCGCCAGCGGACGTCATAAATGTGCGTCTGCTGCTGTGGGGAAACTATGGAAACTACAGTTTTCTATACAGCGGACTACAACATGGATGTTTAATAAGAACGAGGGACTACTGTAAACTCATCTAGAGACTCTGCAACCGTGCTCTGATGCTGTTATGCTTTATGAACGGGGACAACAGAGAAACATATTCTTCATGACCAAAGTTGGAATTGAAATAAAAAAGGAAAGTGAAACTTATGCTCGTCACCCTCTCCCTCCGGTCCACATTAATACAAATGATCCCAATACGTATGATTGTATGAAAAGATCTTAAAATCAATACAAATGTATTTATTATAAACGTTAGTCCTTAACATCTATCACTGTGTATATCACCATTCAAACATCTTTTAAAAGTTGAACAAACCCCACACAGCTCAGTAAAGACTGTGAAATGTTGACTTTATTTGATCATTTCAGTCAAAACTAACGTTCATATTTCTCTCTTTGATTATAATACTGATGAACGTTCAAAACAAAGCACTTTGGCAACTTACCACATACGTTTTGAACCGTAACTTTCATGATATCATTTCTCGTTCATAATCGGTTGTTTCCGTGAACGGCCGACTGTTGTGTGACGGCAAATGCTGCGGCCGCAAGGCATTGTGGGGCAGCATGTTCTCCTCTCCTTTCGGTGAGGGAGGTCCAGTGGTTCCTAGGCTAAAGGAGGTTATAAAGGAAGTTTCAAACCTCCTTTCCTTTCATCTAGAGCAGCGGTTTAGTGTGAGGCGGGGGGGGGGGCGCCAGAGAGCTTCAGGGGAGGCGCAGCGTGAGAAAAAAATAACGAGAAACAGTGAAATCTAGCTAGTTAACTTCAGCTAACTTTATGCGAGCGTCAACATGGATCGATTTTTAGTGAAGTTACCTAAAGTGAACTGCCACCCTAAAAATAGCCTTGCCACCCCAGCTGCCACCCCAGCTGCCTCCCCAGCTGCCACCTCAGCTGCCTCCCCAGCTGCCACCCCAGCTGCCACCCCAGCTGCCTCCCCAGCTGCCACCCCAGCTGCCACCCCAGCTGCCTCCCCAGCTGCCACCCCAGCTGCCACCTCAGCTGCCACCCCAGCTGCCTCCCCAGCTGCCACCTCAGCTGCCTCCCCAGCTGCCACCCCAGCTGCCACCCCAGCTGCCTCCCCAGCTGCCACCTCAGCTGCCACCTCAGCTGCCTCCCCAGCTGCCACCCCAGCTGCCACCCCAGCTGCCTCCCCAGCTGCCTCCCCAGCTGCCACCCCAGCTGCCACCTCAGCTGCCACCCCAGCTGCCTCCCCAGCTGCCACCCCAGCTGCCACCTCAGCTGCCTCCCCAGCTGCCACCCCAGCTGCCACCTCAGCTGCCACCCCAGCTGCCTCCCCAGCTGCCACCCCAGCTGCCACCTCAGCTGCCATCTCAGCTGCCACCCCAGCTGCCTCCCCAGCTGCCACCCCAGCTGCCACCTCAGCTGCCTCCCCAGCTGCCACCCCAGCTGCCACCCCAGCTGCCACCCCAGCTGCCACCTCAGCTGCCTCCCCAGCTGCCTCCCCAGCTCCACCCCAGCTGCCACCCCAGCTGCCTCCCCAGCTGCCACCCCAGCTGCCACCTCAGCTGCCTCCCCAGCTGCCACCCCAGCTGCCACCTCAGCTGCCTCCCCAGCTGCCACCCCAGCTGCCACCTCAGCTGCCTCCCCAGCTGCCACCCCAGCTGCCACCTCAGCTGCCTCCTCAGCTGCCTCCCCAGCTGCCACCCCAGCTGCCACCTCAGCTGCCTCCCCAGCTGCCACCCCAGCTGCCACCCCAGCTGCCACCTCAGCTGCCTCCCCAGCTGCCACCCCAGCTGCCACCCCAGCTGCCACCTCAGCTGCCTCCCCAGCTGCCACCCCAGCTGCCACCCCAGCTCCACCCCAGCTGCCACCCCAGCTGCCTCCCCAGCTGCCACCCCAGCTGCCACCTCAGCTGCCTCCCCAGCTGCCACCCCAGCTGCCACCCCAGCTGCCACCCCAGCTGCCACCTCAGCTGCCACCTCAGCTGCCACCCCAGCTGCCACCCCAGCTGCCAGCTTTGTTTTGAAAGAAAAGTTGTGGCTCATCGGACATTTATGAGAGAAAGTCTCCAATGTCCGAGTGCAAGTGAATGCAGCACAAGACGCGAGCCTTGTAACCCCTCCCCCGGCTCTGGCGCGAGCGTGGAAATATGATTGGCGGCGATTTCATTTGAACGGGACGGCGGGAAAAGGAGAAGCATCCGGACCCAAGTACTGAAGGAATGAGGTGCGGTCTACAATGACAGAGAAGAGACGGTTGATCTTAATCAGTTTGTGAGGCGTGTTGCTGAACAAAATGGTAATCACTGCATTCAGCTGTAATAGACGTGTCAACTTGATGCTCTGCTCACGGATGAGCATAACAAACTGTTAAGATGATGACCTTACGTGTGTAAAACATGTTTCTTCTTTGCGGGGGTCTGCCCCCAAAAAACAGTTTAAGTCCTGAGAAAGTCAAATCAGACGGTGTGTAAAGCTACACTGCCCAGCCAACAGAAAGTAACCTCTTTGATTGAACTAGGCCAGCAGGTAAGGGCTTTCCACTGGATAATAATACCCCTGCATTATAGCAACAACAACAACAACAACAATAATAATAATAATAATAGCAATAATAATTGGGAAGGGGTTGCGGCTGTCCTTATGTTCTCTGAGGGGAGGCTCACCTTCCTCACACTTTGAGAACCCCTGCTCTAGAGAACCAGCTCTCATCATGGCGGCCACTGAGGCACTTAGGAAGGGTCCTGAGAGAAACTGAGTATTCGACTGCAGCCCCCTGTCCTGTTCCAGTTAGGGTTAGGCCCCCTCCCTCCTCTTCCTCCTCTTCCTCACCTCTCTTGTTCTTCTCTCTGGTCACCACCATCATGCTCATCAGCTCGCCCCCCCCACTGATCCTGGACACCTGCAGGCAGCGGAAGTTACTCTTCAGGCTGTTCTTCATCCCAACCTCCCTCCCTCCTCTTCCTCCTCCTCCTCCTCCTCCCTGGCTCCAGTAGTCAACCTGCAGATCCTTCACCCCCCCCAGGCAGCTGCACAGAGAGAGGAAGAGGAGGGAGAGGAGGAGTTAGGAGTCACATCATAGAGTCCTGCTGTGAGCCTGAGACGTTGAGACCCCACAGTGTTCTGATAGAAATGTAAAGTAGGGTCTGCAGCTCATAGAGACTGCTGGGTGATACCTGCATGCGTTGGGACATTCACACAATTAGCATCAATGCGCACAAATTAGCATAAATTAGCATAACTTAGCATACATGCGCACCAATTAGCATACAGTGCATTAATTAGCATCAATTAGCATACTTTGCATTAATTAGCATAACTTAGCACCAATTAGCATACATTGCATTAATTAGCATCAATTAGCATCCATTAGCATACATTGCATTAATTAGCATCAATTAGCATACATTGCATTAATTAGCATCAATTAGCATCCATTAGCATACATTGCATTAATTAGCATCAATTAGCATACATTGCATTAATTAGCATTATAGTCTATGTTGACAATTATAAACAATGGGCTTGGTTGATCTGGACAATGTGGACTTTGAGGGTTATTGAGGATGGTGAGTCCATTGCTGACCAAAGGACCAAACAGTCCCCTGTAACCAGAGAGGCCGGATCTGAACTGATTGTGACACATTTTGGGTCGATTTTGAAGTTAACGGGGACTCTGGACAGATTGCTTATATCGTTTTAAAAGAATTGTCCACAGTAGGAAATAGTGTTCATCGTGTGCTCTCTATCCAACGACCCCTCCTCATGGTAGAATCAGACCATCCAGAGCCATGTTTGAACTATTGTCTGCATATGTTCATTTGTTGTTCCATTTCACAGAATCAGAATCAGAACCCCTCAATGTGTCCCGCCTCGGGGAGATGCACATGATTACAGCAGGTAGTGCAGAGAAAGTTACACAGGAAGTACCTGGTGGAGGGGGAGGGAGGAGGAGTGATGGGAGCTCCTGATTGGCTGGGAGGAGATCCCAGGATGATGTCACCAGAGTCAACTGTGGGGGGAAACATGATGAACACATCTATATGAATATCTGTAACCGAGCTCTCCAGAGAGGAACGTAACATGAATGTTGAATTACAACATATTGATGTCATGCTTTTCTTTGATCAAGATGAGATTGAAATGCTGAATATCACGTTTTACAAATGCCTTATGATTCACTAACAAACACAGTGTGGTTAGCAAATACAAAACAGAAAGAATAAACCTGTCAGCAGCTAAATAAAGATAAATAATCAGATGAATGAATAGAGGACAGGTGAGGCGTACGTGAGATGGAGCGGAGGTTCTGCTCCACGATGCCGACCTTCACCACCTGACACACACACACACACACACACACACACACACACACACACACACACACACACACACACACACACACACACACACACACACACACACACACACACACACACACACACACACACACACACACACACACACACACACACACACACACAGTTTGGATTATGTTCTTAGATGTAAAAGGTTCATTCACAGTTCTGTAATGATAGTCTGAGAGTACTTGACATGTCCTCTTACCCCGATAAAAGGAACAAACTTCTGACAGTAGTCGTCGTCGGGGCTGCCGAACAAAATCAGATTCAAACAACAGGCAGAAATGTGAAATATGAGCAAATCAAACATAGACTCTCTCCTCACTGTGATTCCTCTGATGTCCACTAGAGGCTGCTGTGGTTAACTCTGCACTCAAGAGGTTTGGCTTTCTACTTTAAAGGGGACCTATCATGCAAAATGCACTTGTGTACGTCTTTTCTACATGAATATGTGTCCCCGGTGTTCCAGGGAACTCACCAAGTGTCAGAAAACACAACCCTCTCTATTTTCCTCCATACCCAAATCTCTAAAAAAGGGGCTGCAACGGATCTGATAAAAACTGATCCAGATTTGAACACTGTCCTGACGTCAGGACGGTGGCGCTACGGCTATTGGGCCAACTCCACCAATCAGGAGGAGACAGCCACGGCCATTGCCGTTCGAAAGCGCTGGAGACGCTGTAGTACATATGCCAGGCCTGTAGGTGGTGCTGTTCTCACTGAATCTGCCCTTGCTAAAACAGGGGTAAAAAATGTCAAATGGAGCAAAATGAGGCATGGCTAAAATGCATGATCTGTTTGGTATTTTGAAAAAGAAAAAGTATAAATATGCCTTATATAGGTATGGTCCTACACTATATTATTATAATATAGCATGATAGGTCCACTTTAAGTAGATATTTCTTTCTTTGACATGAAGTCAACAGTGTTGCTTCTTGACAGACCCCTCACTGTGCAGCTGTAATGAAGGCGGGTCTGAGCTCTGGTTCTGACAGGCGGGTACCTCTTGTGTTTGCAGGTCAGCATGGCCTCTGATATGGGACACAGGTGAGAGACAGCCGCTCCGCTCAGGTACTGAGACACTCGCCCTGCGACACCCACAGGATCTGTCCAGCAGAGAGCACAGTTCAGACAGATGGTGCATTCAGGGCCTGTGTCATAGAGCACCATCATCCCAGCCTCCCTCAGCGTTTAACTAAAATGTTCCCAGCACTTTTATTAAGGTTTCTATGACAGTCTGGAAAAGATAGGACCTCTCTAGCGGCTTTTGTTTGACAAATTAGCATCAACTGTATTTTTTAGTATCAATTTCTCTTTGTTTGACATTGCCTTTGAGCACCGACTTGAAGACGCTTGCTGTCACATACTTAAGTATATATAAAGTATATAATACCTTGCTTTATATCTTGTTATTGTTCATTTGTAAATTCAACATGTATATTTTCTACTTTCTTGTTTATTTCTTGTCTTTTAATTTGTATTGTACAATGCCATGTATTGTTATGATGCTGCAACACAAACATTTCCCAAATTGAGTTTGGTATCGCCTCAGCACGCTCAGGTTATACTGAACTGTTTCCATGTGCTACGAGAGAGTGGTTGCCTCGACAATAAAGGAGCGTCTTCTGAGAAAGTCTCTGTTGGGGAAATACTGAATGTCCTCTTCCAATCTGAGAGTAACATGATAACAAAGGTATCCCACCTGTAGCTGTGTTCATGACAGGATGTGTGATTACCTAGAAGAGCATCAGGACTGTTTGAGGCATATGATAGCTATGTGATTAACATGATGATTCAGCCTCTATGGAGATAGACATATGACAAGCATGCTCATTTCTGACGTGGAGCTAATCTGAAGTAAACATTGAATACTGCTTTCTATTCCTCCATCTTGTGACTGTGTAACTCCCTCTCTTGGATATCAGCATGTGAAGGACACTGTTCAGGAACTAGTTGATGCTCTGTATGTGATGACTCCTTCCATTCTGGAGAGGATCACAGATACATGGATCCTGAGATTGAAGCTCAAGCCGGGGACCAGTGAGATCTTTCTAACAGTCTCCTTCACTGTAAGACACACCAGGGGTCGTTTAAACCGAGTCAGTCGAGCTGTTTGTTTGGATGTGACAGAGGCGCTACAGGTCAGAGGTCAGATGCACTACAGGTCAGAGGTCAGAGGCGCTACAGGTCAGAGGTCAGATGCGCTACAGGTCAGAGGTCAGATGCGCTACAGGTCAGAGGTCAGTCGTACCCAAAGCAGGAGACTCCACTCGTCCGAACAGATCCCTCCAGTCGGGGTCCATGAACAGGCTGCTGAACCTGCTGTCCAGAGACGCCAGGAACTTAGCCAGAGGGTGGGCTCCTGGGGAGGGGGGAAGGTAAGGTAAGGTATGGTATGGTAAGGTAAGGTATGGTAAGGTATGGTAAGGTATGGTAAGGTATGGTAAGGTATGGTAAGGTAAGGTAAGGTATGGTAAGGTAAGGTATGGTAAGGTATGGTAAGGTATGGTAAGGTATGGTAAGGTAAGGTATGGTATGGTAAGGTAAGGTATGGTAAGGTATGGTAAGGTATGGTAAGGTAAGGTAAGGTAAGGTAAGGTAAGGTAAGGTAAGGTATGGTAAGGTAAGGTAAGGTATGGTAAGGTAAGGTATGGTATGGTAAGGTAAGGTAAGGTAAGGTATGGTATGGTATGGTATGGTAAGGTAAGGTATGGTAAGGTATGGTAAGGTAAGGTATGGTAAGGTATGGTATGGTAAGGTAAGGTAAGGTAAGGTAAGGTAAGGTATGGTAAGGTATGTTAAGGTATGGTAAGGTAAGGTAAGGTATGGTAAGGTAAGGTAAGGTAAGGTATGGTAAGGTATGGTAAGGTAAGGTAAGGTAAGGTATGGTAAGGTATGGTAAGGTATGGTAAGGTAAGGTAAGGTAAGGTAAGGTAAGGTAAGGTAAGGTATGGTAAGGTAAGGTAAGGTATGGTAAGGTAAGGTATGGTATGGTAAGGTAAGGTAAGGTAAGGTAAGGTATGGTATGGTAAGGTAAGGTAGTAAGGTATGGTAAGGTATGGTAAGGTAAGGTAAGGTGAGGTATGGTAAGGTATGGTAAGGTATGGTAAGGTAAGGTAAGGTAAGGTAAGGTAAGGTAAGGTAAGGTAAGGTATGGTAAGGTAAGGTAAGGTATGGTATGGTAAGGTAAGGTAAGGTATGGTATGGTAAGGTAAGGTAAGGTAAGGTATGTTATGGTAAGGTAAGGTATGGTAAGGTAAGGTAAGGTAAGGTAAGGTATGGTATGGTAAGGTATGGTAAGGTAAGGTAGTAAGGTATGGTAAGGTAAGGTAAGGTAAGGTATGGTAAGGTAAGGTATGGTAAGGTATGGTAAGGTAAGGTAAGGTAAGGTACGTAGAGGCAATTCAAAGTGCTTTACATCATCATTAACACTTAACAAGAAGACAACAGAAAGGAACACAATAAATAAACATAATGGAATAACAGATTCATAAAAACCATAAAAGAGATGCAGAATATAGTTTAAACTCAACATTGTAGAGACTAGGGGCCGGTCCAGAGACTAGGGGCTGGTCCAGAGACTAGGGGCAGGTCCAGAGACTAGGGGCCGGTCCAGAGACTAGGGGCCGGTCCAGAGACTAGGGGCAGGTCCAGAGACTAGGGGCCGGTCCAGAGACTAGGGGCAGGTCCAGAGACTAGGGGCTGTCCAGAGACTAGGGGCCAGTCCAGAGACTAGGGGCAGGTCCAGAGACTAGGGGCCAGTCCTGAGACTAGGGGCCAGTCCTGAGACTAGCGGCAGGTCCTGAGACTAGGGGCCAGTCCAGAGACTAGGGGTCGGTCCAGAGACTAGGGGCAGGTCCAGAGACTAGGGGCTGTCCAGAGACTAGGGGCCAGTCCAGAGACTAAGGGCAGGTCCAGAGACTAGGGGCCGGTCCAGAGACTAGGGGCTGTCCAGAGACTAGGGGCCAGTCCAGAGACTAGGGGCAGATCCAGAGACTAGGGGCCAGTCCTGAGACTAGGGGCCAGTCCTGAGACTAGGGGCCGGTCCAGAGACTAGGGGCCGGTCCAGAAACTAGGGGTCAGTCCTGAGACTAGGGGCCGGTACAGAGACTAGGGGTCGGTCCTGAGACTAGGGGCAGGTTACCTGATCTTGCCACATTGAGCATTAACGGTCAAACTGCGTGGAAATCTCAAGCTAACATCACTAACGATGCAAATAGCCGTACTAACTGAAATTCATATTGTTAACTGTGTCTGTTAGCTGTGTCTGTTAGCTGTGTCTGTTAGCTGTGTCTGTTAGCTGTGTCTGTTAGCTGCGTCTGTTAGCTGCGTCTGTTAGCTGCGTCTGTTAGCTGTATACATATGTAATTCAAAATAAGATATGAATACATCAGACCATTTAGGTGATAGGAAGTATATAACATTTATACGCTGTGAGCCCGCCTATATGTACCGATGGGGAGGATGAGGAAGCGGACGTAGTTCTGCCAATCAGGCGTCTTGCTGGCCATCTGCTCCACGAAGCAGCAGAGCACGCTGCTCAGGTAGCTCTGGTCTCCGGCCACCGCCACCTTCAGGGTGGGGGGGGTCTGCGAGTTACAGTTACAGCTGGAACACACAAGTACGTCACATCACAATATATTCATATAATACTCAAGATTCATCGGAGAACCTCTCCACGATTCAACTTCAGTGTATGTGTTTGCTTGATATATTGAGTTGCAGTGATGTGTCCTAAACCCTGTCATGAGTCAGCATTTCATCACTTCCTGTCCACTGGTCAGGAGGTCAATGGTTTTCTGAATGTGTTTTTAGTTGTTTTCCTTAAATAAGGTCTCTGGTTAACACGAGCTGAAGAGATTTTAACGTTTTGTTTTACGAAATAAAATACATCAATAAATACCCCACTGGTGGATTTAAAAATGGAGGTTGCTAACAAGTGTCTAAATGAGACGACTAAACGCCATCATGCCCAACATTAGCCACCGTTAGCTTAGCGGTGGTGACGTGAAGTCATGTGACCGTGCTGTAGTTCCTTTATAGCCCAACATTAGCCTCCTTTAGCTTAGCGGTGGTGACGTGAAGTCATGTGACCGTGCTGTAGTTCCTTTACAGCCCAACATTAGCCACCGTTAGCTTAGCGGTGGTGATGTGAAGTCATGTGACCGTGCTGTAGTTCCTTTATAGCCCAACATTAGCCACCGTTAGCTTAGCGGTGGTGACGTGAAGTCATGTGACCGTGCTGTAGTTCCTTTATAGCCCAACATTAGCCTCCTTTAGCTTAGCGGTGGTGACGTGAAGTCATGTGACCGTGCTGTAGTTCCTTTATAGCCCAACATTAGCCGCCTTTAGCTTAGCGGTGGTGACGTGAAGTCATGTGACCGTGCTGTAGTTCCTTTATAGCCCAACATTAGCTGCCTTTAGCTTAGCGGGGGTGACGTGAAGTCATGTGACCGTGCTGTAGTTCCTTTATAACCCAACATTAGCCACCGTTAGCTTAGCGGTGGTGACGTGAAGTCATGTGACCGTGCTGTAGTTCCTTTATAGCCCAACATTAGCCTCCTTTAGCTTAGCGGTGGTGACGTGAAGTCATGTGACCGTGCTGTAGTTCCTTTATAGCCCAACATTAGCCTCCTTTAGCTTAGCGGTGGTGATGTGAAGTCATGTGACCGTGCTGTAGTTCCTTTATAACCCAACATTAGCCACCGTTAGCTTAGCGTGGTGACGTGAAGTCATGTGACCGTGCTGTAGTTCCTTTATAACCCAACATTAGCCACCGTTAGCTTAGCGTGGTGACGTGAAGTCATGTGACCGTGCTGTAGTTCCTTTACAGCCCAACATTAGCCACCTTTAGCTTAGCGTGGTGACGTGAAGTCATGTGACCGTGCTGTAGTTCCTTTATAACCCAACATTAGCCACCGTTAGCTTAGCGTGGTGACGTGAAGTCATGTGACCGTGCTGTAGTTCCTTTATAACCCAACATTAGCCACCGTTAGCTTAGCGGTGGTGACGTGAAGTCATGTGACCGTGCTGTAGTTCCTTTATAGCCTAATGTTAGCTCTTTACTTCAGTGGTGTTAATATGGGAATAGTATTGAGTAACTTACAATCTCTGGATCCGGCTGAGGATGGCGCTGAAGGCGGCCTGAACGTCGGCGGCCGACACGGTGCAGACGATCGGCTGATCGAAGAGAAGCTCCGACAGATACTGAACACAGAGAGGGGACATCATGCATGTTCATTAAAATATCCATCACTCCCGTCCCTGTCCAACCTCAGAGCACATTACAACAACTGTGAACATTCATAAACACACCTCCGCCCCTCAAAGACTTGCATGCTTTGGTTACTAAAACCCTTTATGAACACACAGTTAGAAACACACTACATTTATACAGTTTTGTACATTTAACGTTTTTAAACTGTAAGTGTAAATATGCACATTGACATTGAATGTTATCTCGTTGCACTGTCATCGCTACTACCTCTGCTTTTACCACTCTTATTTATTTATGTGTGTATATTTTTTTTACTGCAGTGAGAGTTGCCAAAGAAATGTCGTTGTACTTTGTATGATGACAATAAAGATATATTCTATTCTATTCTATTCTATATCATACCATTATATTCTATAAAAAATACTGACACAGATAACGAAATAATAGTTTTGTGTGTGAGATGTTCCTCTGATGCGATCAGACCTGCCCCTGCCAGTCGGAGGTGTTGATCAGGATGATGGAGTCGGGGATCCGCTCCTCAGAGAACAGGATGTGGTTCAGCTGATCCAGGACCGACTTCCTGGCAGCCTGAGGAGAAAAAGTGAGCGTTCAGGTCAACTGTAAAGGCCACTGAGACATAGCTGTGTTGTGATATTGGGCTATATAAATACACTTTGATTTGAAAAAGATCACTCAAAATAAAATGGCTGATTGTGGAAACCCTGTCCGTCCGTCTCACCTGTGGAGGAGGTATCCTGCAGTCCGTGGACGTCTCACTGTCCATGCTGCTGTGGTTCTGTCTGTCCTTCATGGAGGCTCCCCAAGAGTGGCGAGACAGCTGACATTGTGTCTTACTGAAAACAAACCAATATGACATCCCAGCAGCTTGTTGATAAGTACAGGTAGCCTTGTGTGGTAGTGTGTGTGTGTGTACCTCGTTGACATGTGTTTTGGGGGCTCAACCTCAACTTCCTGTGCAGAGAAGAAGAAAAAAAGAGTGGGTTTCTCTGTGTGTGTGGGTGTGTGTGTGTGTGTGTGTGTGTGTGTGTGTGTGTGTGTGTGTGTGTGTGTGCGTGCGTGTGTGTGTGTGTGTGCGTGTGTGTGTGCGTGTGTGTGTGCGTGTGTGTGTATGTGTCTGATAAACACTAACCACAGGGCCCGCCTCCTCTTCTCGGGTCTCAGATGGTAATCGGGGCCCCTGAGTGGGAGGAATCTCCATTTCCTGTTAACAAGAGATGAGGAAGTACCCAGATACTTTACATCTCTACACATTAGTCCGGCATCCAACATCTTTTCATTACATTCAGGGGAACATGTTATGGGTCAGTTTTACTCACAGTTTGTTGTTTCTGCGTCCGGATCTCACTCTGAGAGCTCGAATGAGAAACCCCGTCAAAGAAAGGCCTGATGGTCAGAAATCAGATGGATTAATGAGACATCACAGACGTCCTGTTTATTAAAGTTCCTCTGGTTGAGATTAAGTGCTGCAGACTTTGGATTCTGGTCATTCTTTTCAGCCTGGACACAAACCAATACAACAGTGCAACACTTTAAAAAAACAAACAATGTAATACTGTTTTAACTGGATGCTACTTCACTTCCTTTTATAATACTGCTGCTTATTTGTTCCTATATTTCCACACCAAAGGCTCGAGGCACCAAACGTGGTAGTCGTCAAAGAAGGGAGGACACCATCACACACACCAAATTGCATGACTCGAGCACTCACCTTTCTCATAACCCTAACCCTAGCTATTTCCAAAGGGCCCTTGGCCAGGATACCTGACCACAAATTAGTCTCTTAGGTTTAATAAGTCTGTTTAAATAGAGCTTCAGATAATTAATAAATAACATGGTGTTAGATGTTAGAACCAATCTAACACTCACCGTTCGGGAGTTGTAGGTGGATCACCCCTTTCTTTCTGTTTATCACCCTAAAAACAACCCTCACTGAATTACAATGGAGGCCAATGGCAGCTATATCTAATGAAGCAGCTATAAAAGCCAAACTTGGTACACATCAGCAATGGGAAGAGACAATAACGCACACCAAATTGTACCACTCTACCATTTACCCTTCAGGAGTTATATGAGGGGCATACCCTTTTTGCTATAATGGATGTCAATGGCAGCTTCATCAAAGGAAGAGGCTAGAGGCACCAAACTTGGTAGTCGTCAAAGAAGGGAGGACACCACCACACACACCACATTGCGTGACTCTAGCACTCACTGTTCTCATAACCCTAACCCTAATCCTAGCTATTTTCAAAGTGTCCTTGGGCAGGATAAGATAAGATAAGATAAGATAAGATAAGATAAGATAAGATAAGATAAGATCGTACTTTATTGATCCCAATTTGGGATTTTTTTTTTATTTTTATTTTATTTAACCTTTATTAAATTGTTTTTGTTACAGCAGCATAAAAGACCAGGCATTTTACAATAAAACAAAACTACAAAATAAACAAGAATAGAAAGAAAAATAAAATAAAATAGAAAATATACATGGAGATATTATATATATACAAATATATATATATATTCAAAAATATATGACATATGGAATATGGAGTATTAAATATTAAACAGATTATGTATGAGTAAAATGTACAACGTGGTTTTATTTAAAAAAAAATATATATTTATAACTAGTTTAGGTAGTTTGTGTAAGGTTTTAGTGTTTGTCTATCTGTCTTATTGTGACATGACTCTGCTCTATCTTTCCAGGTGTCTGCACTTCCTGTCTTTGTGTGTCACCGGTCAGACTGATTGTTGTTCCCGCCCCTGATCGTGTCCACCTGTGCCTCATTACCTAATGTGTGTGTGTGTGTGTATATAGTCCTTCTCTCCCTTTGTCTTGTGTTGGTTCGTCTTGTCTCTTCATGAGATCCATGCCTGTTACCAGAGACCTGTTGTAAATACCTAGTCGAACCTAAGGATTCTTTGGAATGTCCTAGTAGATCCTAGAAGACTTGAAAAGCTTTGTGATCTTTATAAATAAAGAATATTACAAAGCAACGGAATCGAGCATCTGAGTTCTTAAAGAGCCCTTCATGTCAGTTTGAGAGGTAATTAAAATAGCTAAGGGTGATGATCTGACTTGAGGAGACAATAATGCACACCAAATTGTACTACTTTACCATTAACCCATCTGGAGTTATATGAGGAATATACCCCTTTTTGCTATAATGGGAGTCAATGGCATGTAAATCAAAAGAAGAGGCTTCACTAATAAGTGAAGACACCATCACACACACCACATTTCAATACGCTAGCCCTCACCGTTTTCATAACCCTAGCTATTTTCAAAGTGTCCTTGGGCAAAATATTTAACCCGAAATTGGATGGACCTTCAGATAAATAATGAAACGTTAAATGTTAAATAGCGTCTGCAGAAGGACCTGAGTTTGGGTTTTGGCGAGATCATGATGATGTCGCTGTCGTCGAGCTCCGGCCCGCTGTCACTCGGGTCATAACCCTGCAGACTGTCGTACAGCTGGTCCAGGTCTTCTGCCGCCTCCGGACCCCCCCCCATCGGGTCCGAGTCAAGAACCTGCAGCGGGTCAATAACATCGAGATTTAACTTTGATATTCATATATTAACAGTCTTTTATTAAAAAGAAACTCATGTGTTGTTTACATGCTGCTGTGACAACAAATGTCCCAATAGAAAACGATATTTAGTTATAATTAAATAAGCCAATATTTCAGTACATAAACAGCTCAGTCGATTAATAAATTAGCATCTATAAACATTTAAGAAACGTTCACATTTATTTTAACCTCTTAAGCCCTGAGCCTGTTTTTCAGGTTTCAGCCTCGAAAATGCCACTAACACAACAAAGACTATATCTTCACTTCTAAAAGGGGTAAATTAATAATCTTTTTTCTCAAAGTAAGGTTACATCTGTGAGTTGGATGTAGAAGTGTCAGAATCAATATAGATGTTTTTATTTTAAAGTAAATTCATATGGAACATAGTAAAAACATGTAAATTCTAATCTCCGCCTAAAAAAAACCCATTACTTATAGTGAAAACCACCCTTGAATGATGGGATGGTAGACTCAAAGCTTTAGGAATCCAAACTATAACATATAAGAAGTACCCTGTATCAAGATTGATGCAAAACAAGTGACATTTGACCTTTTTAGAGAGATTTAGAAAAATAAAGTCCAGGCGGACTCACCTCTGGGTAATTTGGGAACCATCAGTTCCATTTGACCTTTTTCACTGTAAAAATCATTTTATTACTTTGAATTATCACTATAGGTATTCATTCCATCCAAATACAACTGTTGTAAAAAAAAGAAAACATACAAAATGAAGTTTGACTCCAACTAGAGCAGATTTATTTCAAACATGTTACAGATTTATTTCAAACATTTTACAAACACACTATACAATAAAACCACACTCTAGATAGGTAGACTTTATACTTACCTCCTGAATGTAAAACTTTATACTTACCTCCTGAATGTTACAATATTTTGGCATGCCACTCCTGGTAACAATTATCTTTGATATTCAAGCGCAGAGGGACCTGGCACTTCACGCAGTGCCAAGGTGTCTTCACCCTCTTTTTGCAAGCATCATGGCAGTTCCTGCAGTTCTTCCTAATACGGACATCTTTCCCATAAAACATGGGCCCGCATGTGAGTGGTGGGGGGGGGGGGGGGGGGGTGGTGGAGGTGCAGAGCCTTCAGCATATTCCAACATTTCTGCAGCAAGCTGCTCCCTGAAAGTCTTCTGTGTGTGTGGCTTTGTCCTGCTGGGGTCACTCTTCATCTTGTGCAGCTCCTTGTGGAGAAGGAAGCTGTTCACCACGGCAATGTCCAGAAAATGGTAAAAAAAAGTCTTGTACCATTTCATCGTTTGGGGAGAACGCTGTAGTAGCCGATCAAAGCGTCAGACACATCCACGCCGCCCATGCTTCGGTTGTAGTCCAACACAGCATCAGGAACAGGAACAGTCTTTGTCTGCCACACACCAGCCTGGAAGTTATATGGCCATTTCTTCCTCCAGTAGTCCGATCAGTTGTGAACGGTGACGAGGCCTGAGAATTATAATAAGTTGAGGAATGTGAGGGTGAGGCAGGTGTGGGCTGGGTGAAAGTAGACAATGCTGAAGCCATTTCATCCTCATCTCCATCACTATGAAAACAAATGTGGAAAAACAAAGAGATTAGATTATTTCCTGTAATTCCTGTTTCCTTGGCAGCAAACATGCCATTGTGAGTGTGTGAATGCAACACATTTAGTGACTATAGATGAACACTGGCCTATACTTTTAGTAAATGTAACAGACAAGAAACACTATTTTTGTAAATAATCCCTCTTCCTGCCAAACATGCCATTTTGAGCGTACATTACATTACATTACATTACGTTACATTACATTTAGCAGACGCTTTTATTTACTATATGAATAATCGTACACCAAATAAATAAGTAATAGATAAAAACAGAGAGATTACATACCTTTCCCGTGGTGGAATTTCATCATCAGAGTCACAACGCTGACGATGCACTCCCATGATGACACTACATGTATGGAATCTGTGGAGTCTCAGCTTTAATCGGATATCTTGTTTGTGCAGTTACGATAAGTAATAAGGGCATTTTGAGAGTGAGTGCTGTGCAAAAGTCCGTTAACATTAGTTAGCATTTTTTCGCAAAATGCTAATTCAAAGGCTTGGTATTACTCTTGTGTTTCTTTTAGCTAAAAATGGTTCATATCTTCAGTTAGCTGAGATTCTTCCCGTTAATCTGGTGCTACACATTAATAGTTTCATAAATGTTAAGAAGCCCTGAGACATTGTCTCAAAAAAAAACAGTGGGAGGGGTCCAATGGGGGGACCGCCGTGCTTAACTCATTTTGAGTCTTTTTAATGTATTTGAAATTATTCTGCATTAGGTAATTTTAAGATTAATACTATATAGTTTGATATCTCTTTTGTTAATATATACTGTTAATTTGTATTTATTTGGTTTCAATCTTTTTCACTGAATCAGTTATTTTCAAATCTCTTAACCCTGAGCCTGTTTTTCAGGTCTCAGGCTCGAAAATGCCATTCCCAGAACAAATGACCATATCTTCCCTTCTAAAAGGGTTAAATTAATAATCTTTTTTCTCAAAGTAATGATAAACCTGTGAGTTGGATGTAGAAAAGTCAGAATCAATATAGATGTTTTTTATTTTAAAGAAAATTCAGATTTTACATAGTAAAAAACTGTAAATTATAGTGTCCGTCCAAAGATTCTTTTTTACTTATAGTGAAAACTACCCTTGGATGATGGGTTAGTAGACTAAAAGCTTTAGGAATCCAAAGTACAACATATAATAAGTACCCTGTATCAAGATTGATGCAAAACAAGTGACATTTGACCTTTTTAGAGAGGTTTAGAAAAAAGAAACCACTTCTGGGGTCATTTGGGTGGATTTTCCATATCTCTGGCCTCCCTTGACACCTCTTTCTGACCGTTAGAGCCAATAGAATCGAAGGGGGAGTTCCTCATACACACTCATTGTGAAGAGAAAAGGTGGGGGCTTCGCGCATGTAATTTTGCATCAGAGTGTACCTATCTCTCGCTCTGACATCTGGAAACGGAAAAGCAGTTTTAATGCTTATGGATTATCAGAAATCATTTCAAAGGGACACAGACACATTGGATTAACCTATGGATTAACTTCAGCAGCGTTTTTATCGTTTTAATGTCATTAAAGACCATTTGGAGAGACTACAGAGCCAAGGTCAATAAGCCATCTGTATGTAAAAAACCACCTGTATGTAAATTGTAAATAAGCCATCTGTATGTCAAATATGTCTTATATGTCTTAAATGATATGATGAATTGGAAATGGGGGACCCTGATGTAAACAAGACGAAAGTCTTTCTCTGGTCTGCATCCCCTTAACAATTGTATGTTTTGAGCTGTACTGTACTGTACCCAATATACAAGCTGTTAATAAACTTTTCAATCAATCAATCAATCAGGTAACCATGTTAGCATTTTTAGCTACCTAGCGTCAAATGTTTTGATGTCCGTTTTTGTTTATAACGTCGCGATTTCGTATAATTCAGTGGTAATGTCGGTGTCAATCGATTCTGTGTCACCTCACGATGTGAAACGATGTCATGGATGTGGAGAAAAGATAAATAATAAGGTTTTGTGAGTGATTTTCAGTGCAGTAATCTGTTAGCATTTTTCGCTCGTTGCTAATTCAGAGGCTCAGTGTTAGCATTGTGGGTTTTCTTTTGAAAAATAAATAAAAAAGATCAGTTAGATGAGTTTCTTCCCGTTACATGGATATAAAACATTCATAGTTTATTAAATGAACATGCCCTCAGACACTGTTTCCTGCAAGATGTTGCGGCAGTGCCCCGGTACCGGGGTCTCTCGGGCTTAACGGGTTAAAGGATTTTGGTTTCAGGAGGTGGAATATTTTGAATTGTTGTTATGTCTTTAGTGCTCAGTGCAAACCTCATCGGGGACCTTGAATCTCCTCAGCAGAGACACAAACCTCTGTTTGAAGATCGATTGCTGAAAGAAAGGAAGCAGAAAAGTGAGACACAGTGTTGCACGAGAACTAATTACATGTGGTAGTTTATCCACCCATTCTGTTTCTCTGTGAATGATCAGCTCTGATTGGTCCACACCTGAGTCAGGGACGTTGTTCTGACCAGTTTCTTGCGGGACTTCTTCAACTTT